CGGCGGCAATCGTTGGGAAAGCGTGGTGCCTGGAGGATCAAGGCACCAGAGAGAAGAGGCCGGCAGGGAGAGAGGAGGTGGTACAGTAATCGTGAGTACTATGGCAGAAGCAGTGAGGAGCGGGGGTGCAAGGCCTAGGTCCCATGGGGATTCGGATCCAGCCGAGGGGACCTCCAGGGGGGTTCCCCCAGTCACCAGAGGGAGGTCCCCCGCCAAAAGAGGCACCCCCAGGCCCCATAGGAAGGGAACTTCTGAGAAGGAAGTTCGGATCACCGAGGCCTCTGCTAGAAGGTTCGGGGCCACCATAAACCCTTGGCCTTCCAGATCTCGCTCCCCCAGCAGGCTTCCAGCTTTGGAAGAGACTCAGGCAGAGGGCACAGCTCCCTATCCCCCCCCCGCCTGCACACCCATCTGAGGCGAGGAGCAACCCCTTTGGGCGCAGGGCACCCAGTCCAGCCAGGCATCTATTGGCATCACAATCCCCTGATCACAGGGACTCTCTACAGCCCCCAGAGCTACAGCCTTCCCTGCCTGAGCTTCCTGCAAGCTTTCAGGAGGTGTTAGCCAGGGCCATAGCCCAGGGGATTGCTTCTGGGATGAATCATCAGCCCCAGAGTTCCAGGAGTAGGTCTTCCCGGGATCAGCCCAGGGGTCACCAGGATCGCCCCAGGGCCTCTGCTACCGGAGTGCCCAGGTCTCCCTCTCCCTCCACTGCCAGTGAGGCTTTGGAATTGGAGGTGGGAGAGTTGAAGGAGGTGGGGTTTTTTGAGGATGAGTATGCTCAAGCACCTGAGGCTCTTTCCCCCCTCCTTATTTAGCTCCTTACTGCAAAAGGCCAGGGCCACAGCAGGCCTCGATTACCCCTCCAGATCCCAGGCCTGCGACTACCACACCCAGCACTAGCAGGGGTAACAAGAAGGGTCCTTTCCATAGGCCACCAGTGGAGAAGGAGGAGATCCCCACTCCAGAGATGTTCCTGGAGGTGCTTAAATCCCAGTGGGTTAAGTCAGGTTCCTTTCCCAACCCGGGGGGCAATGAGCGGAGGTTCTATAATCTTAACCCTACCTTTGCCCAAGCTCTCCAGGTTCCCGAGGTGGACACCCCGGTCACCACCCTAGCTTCAGCTTCAGCCGTGGTCACTGGAGACATCGCTAACTGTCTTAAAGCAGAGGACAAGAAGGCAGACATCGTTTTGCGTAAGTCATTCCAAGCAATAACCTGGGCCATTAGGGCAGTCGCTTCTGCATCTTTTTTCAATAGGTCTACAGTGCTGTGGCTAGAACAGCTGGGAAAAAGGACCCCGGCCATGGAGGTTCGACTGCTGTAGGACATCACTAAAGTGCTGGCAGCCACGCAGTTCTCAGCAGACGCCACCTTGGATGCAGTTAAGTATGCGTCTCGAGCCTTATCATCCTCTGTAGCGTCCAGGTGCCTGCTGTGGTTGCGCCATTGGCAGGCGGAGTCCAGGACTAAGTAGCACCTGGCAGGAGCAGACTACGCTGGGGACAAACTTTTCGGTGCTTCGCTGGATCCTATCCTGGTGGAGGATAAGAATATGCTCCATACCCCAGGAGAACATCTTACCGCCCGCCTGAATCGGACGTCCAGAACCAGAGGTACCAGAATCCCAGGTTCCATCGACAAAGGGATAGGCAGTTCCCTGGGGATAGGTTCAAGGGCCAGCAGCAGAGCAAGTGGCCCTTTCGACGAGGGGGCGGCCACCCATTCCGCACGTTCAGGTGATCCGTTCGCAGGTCACCCCATCGGCGGTCGCCTCTCTCTTTTTGTGGATGCCTGGGAGCACGTCACGTCGGACGAGTGGGTCCTCCAGACTGTTAAGCTCGGGTTACAACTGGAGTTCCGCTCGCAACCCCCTAATAGATTCCGTACCTTCGCCTCCTCCACAGATCCAACCAAACGGGCCCTTAAGGCCAAGGCCATCAAACACCTGTTAGATATCAGGGCCATTGAGAGGGTCCCAGAGGGGGAGAAGGGCTCCGGATTCTACTCAAGTCTGTTTCTGGTCCCCAAGAGTTCAGGGGGGTAGAGAGCCATCCTGGATCTTAAACTGCTCAATTCCAGGGTGATCTACCGTAGGTTCAAGATGACATCCCTGAAATCCATCTTAGAGGGCATCCGACAGGGTGATTTCTTGGCCTCCATCGACCTCACGGAGGCCTACCTTCACATCAGAATCGCCCTGGAACATTGTAGGTGTCTCAGGTTTTCCTACGAGGGCAATCATTTTCAATATAGAGCTCTTCCCTTTGGGCTGGCCTCTAGCCCCCAGGACCTTTACCATGGTGCTGGCCGCAGCCCACCTGCGTTCTTTCCCTGTCCGCCTTTTGTTACCTGGATGACATCCTCGTCCTAGCCAGGTCCCCAGACACTGCCAGGCAGGACCTGGGGCTCACCATTGACAGCCTCAGGTCCCTGGGATTCTCTATCAACCTAGAGAAGAGCCAATTGGTCCCTTCCACCAGTCTCCAGCACCTAGGATCCATTATAGATTCGGTATCTGGGGAGGTTTTCCTTTCCCAGGAACGAAAGGACAGCATTGTGCAACTCATCCATGAAATTCGCAAATTACGTTTTGTTCCTGCAGTTCTTCTTTCCAGGCTCCTTGGGAAATTCATTTCTTGTATAGGGATCGTGCCTTGGACACGCCAGGGAGCTCCAGTGGTTCCTGCTTCCATACCAGAGAGTCGGGACAAGCGACGACAACTTCAAAGTTCGAATGTCACCCCAGGTACTACTCTCTCTCCATTGGTGGCTGACCCCAGCGTTAGACAAGGATGCCTCTTCAAGGAACCAGCAAGGAAGGTACTCAAAACAGACGCGAGCCTGTTCGGCTGAGGAGCACACCTGGAGGCCCAGATAGCCCAGGGCCGCTGGACTCCAACAGATCTGCGCAACAACATAAACTGGTTGGAGCTCAGGGCCATCCATCTGGCTCTACGTCACTTCAAGACCACGGTGACCGGTCACCACGTCCTGGTCCTGATGGACAACATGGCAGCCAAAGCCCATGTGAACAGGTAAGGGGGCACCCACTCCAAGGCCCTCCGTGACGAGGCCCTCTGCTTGGGGAACTGGGCAGAGGCATCTCCAGTCCATCAGAGCGGAACACATCTCCGGGACAGAGAACCAGCAAGCGGATTGGATTGGTGCTCCCACCCTTAGCCACAAGGGAGGACGGCTGGATGCAGCTTGGTACCTCCCGTCTCCCCTCAGATCACTGAGGGGCCTCACGCGCCTGCTCGCTCACATGGCCTGTGTGCTTCCAGTAGAAATGGGAAGTGCGGGGATCTTAATGTAGTAGAGCGGGGGAGGCTGGAGCAGGAGGTTAAATAAACAAATTTGGCTTCGCTTCTTTGCGCGCGGCAAGAGAGAATGTTGCCGAAGACACCGCTGGGAGAATGTCCCCTTCAGGCTGTCCCCTTACCGCCCCCCTGCCGCCCCCCCTTGCCTCTTAGTGCCCCCCTAAGTCATCCCACCGCCCCCCACGGGGCGGTACTGCCCACTTTGGGAACCACTGCTGTATAGCCTCCTACTTAGCCTCCATCTGATTGGGCTCTGCAAACATGGCTCCAAAGTTCGCCATTGCTGTCCTGGGCTCTTGGGAAAAACTTCATGTGCATGAAAGCCAACACCAAGAGCTAGCAGCTGGGATTTTACACACACACACACACACACACACACACACTATGTGTGTGTCTGTGTGTGTGTGTGGGTATAACTTCATCCAGGATTTTAAGGAACTTACCTGAAGAAAAGATAAGATGAGTTGAGGCTGGCATGACTTGCTAATAAACCCATTTTTTTGAAATTTATATGTCATTTTCAAGAGTTTAGAGCAGTGATGGTGAACCTTTTAGAGACCGAGTGCTCAAACTGCAACCCAAAACCCACTTATTTATCACAATTTAAACTGAATACTGAGGTTTTACTACCTAAAATAATAACAAAGGCAGAGTACAGCTAATTGTTCTAAGAAAAATATGATAAATGCACTTTTATGCCCCTTCATTTTTTTCTACTTTTATTATCTTTAGTAACAATAAAAAGCCTTTTGTAATATCCTTTCCCACCCCATTTCCTTCACTCCCACTTTCTGTTTCTTTCTCTTTCCCTCTCTCTGCCTGTTTCCCTGTCTCTCTTTCTCTCTCTCCTCTGCCTGTTTCACTCTCTTTCCCTCCCTCCCTCTTTCTCCCCCCGCTCTTCCTCCCTCTGTTTCTCTCTCTCTCTCTCTCTCCCGGGGGGGGGGGACGCCTGAACGGGTTCTGGGTGGTGGGAATCTGATGTCTAGAGGCCAACAAGCCCAGGAACAGCATGGAAGCTCAGCTGGCTGGCGGGGAAGGCGGGGCATCCCAACACAGACAGCTCTGCAGGAAAATCAACTGACTGGATGTCAGTTGCTTCTTTCTGCCGAGCCGAGCTGACACAGGTTCGCAATGTGGCTCTGCGTCATAATGGGCTTCAGGAGGAAGGGACCCCATCTCCCCCATTGTGAAGCGTGCAAGTGAAAACATTCACTCAATCAATTCCAATTTCGAAAGATCTTTTTCTTTCGTGAGAAATTGGAATTGATTTGAGTGAAAAAAATTTTTTTGCCTCACAAACTTTTGTTTTGTGCAAACGATGGTGGGAAACGCAATGGAGCTGGACTGGGGCAATGGAGGGCTCTGCATGCGACCTCTAGCAGGTGTGCCTTAGATTCGCCACCATGGGCTTAGAGAATTTTTTTTAATCTAGTATATCTTACATCCCATCCGTCAATCAGCTTATCTGGTTTATTTGCAAGCTCTTTCTGCTACTACAAGTATATGAACTCTAACAATATAAACTTGTTATGAATTGTTGGGGGTTCTTTGCATTTTGTATTTGGGGTTTTAGTTCTGTAAGCCATACAGAGTCATTATGATTGAGTTGGGCAGCCAATATAAATTTTCTAGATAAAATAAAATATAAAATAAAAAATAAAATAATAAAGTAAAATAAAATAATAAAGTAAAATAAAATAATAAAGTAAAATAAAATAAAGTAAAGTAAAAAAAAATAACCCTCACTGCATCCAAGTGGTAATTAAGACTAAGTGGCCACCTTTCCCCCTCGCCACACACACACACAGATTATTCAGTGAAGGACAGACTATTCAGCAAGAGAATAGGACTTCCCATTCATGTGATGCCTCTTGCATCTTCCTCACCTGCAGAGTTTACTGATTCCAGTACAGTCAAACTGGGGAAGTTAGGAGTCAGTGGTGTATACGTGAGGAGAGGTTCAGTCAAAGGCACCAGTGGGTTGGAACTGACAGGGCTGGGGTGAAGAACACTGACGGGGGCTACATTTGCCTGGCTCTCCAGATGCTGGTCCAGATCTTGGTATTCCAAGAGATCAATTTGCTTGCCCAAGCTTGGACGAGGTGGCTCACAAGTTGTGAGATGCAAGTAAGTGGCCATCAAACTCTCTCCTAGAGATTTCCAGCTGCATGGAAAACAGGGGGAAAAAACATGAATGAAAGTGAATATATAGTATGTTGCAGGATCCAATCTGAGTCGGTCACACCACAAATCATGAAGCTAATCCAATACTGTCAATGCATCTTCTTCACATTCAAAAGTGAACTGTATGAACAAATAAAAGGGATGGGATCCCCAATATCAGGAGTTACTGTAGAAACAGTCCTGCATAAACTAGAACTAAAACTAGCTGTGCATTTCAGAACTACACACCTAAATTCTGATGGCATTATGTGGATGACCCATGTCATCATCAAGAAAAAGGCACTTAAAGACTTTCATACCATGCTAAACTCCATCTCCCCCGACATGCAGTTTTCAATGGAGGAAGAAACATTTAGGCAATTACCATTTTGAGATGTACAACAGACAAGAGGATGGAAGGCCTAGAAACAATGGTTTATTGCAAGGCCACCAACATTCCACAGATTCTGAATTTCAACAGTAACTGAATTTCAACAGTAACAGGACAGTTTTATGGATGGCTCAAACAAAGATATATACCAAAACTGTGTAAACAGCCCCCCCCCCCCACCCCGTAACTTGCAACACTGGTACAAATTGGCAGTGGATATGGAAATCGATCTACCCA